CGCTTCTTTGCGTTGATTATCAAGCTCAGTCATTTAACTACTAACCCCGATCTTTTTTTTCCTCCTGGTCCATGTTGTTCGCTGCATATTATAGCCAATTCATCAGCATAAAAATAGTAATTATTGAATTTTTTATAATTTACATTTTATTTATTTCTACCATGAATAAATCTGTCAAACAAAAAGGAGCCATTAATCTTGAAATATCTTTTATTAACTTCAAAATCAGAATATAAATCCAATTACTGTATAAAGACTACTTATTATATTATTCTGCTTTCACAGCATCTGCTTAAAGATTTTTCTAATCTTAATTCTTCTCCACTCTTATAGCTCTTATGGGGGCCTTAATATTTTATTTGGTTATTATTTTCTATTCATTGGAATATTCTGGTAGCTTTTTATGAAATAGGAGTCTAAAGAACTGGCCAAATTTTATACTAATTCTTATGTATTATTTCTCCAAAAATCTTTAAAATAATAAATGAATAACTAATGTAATAATTGTATTTTATATTAAATAGTAAAATAATTATTTATTTAAGAATCCCCTCCAATGTTATTTTATGATTTTTAGACCGACAAAGTCTCTTTGATTTGTATAAAATCCCCAAAGTGCTGAAATGGGTTCTAAAAAGAATAAACTACAAGCAGTATTTTTATGGATTAAATTTTGAAAAACTCTGTTTATTTTATTTTGTACACTTGTCTAGAATAATTCATTATATTATCGAGCAACTTTTAAATGTTTGAAATGATCGTATTTTACCAATGTCCTAAGATTAGAATATAAAAGAACCTTTACAGTTTGATATGATGTCAATAAGTTCATCAATTTGAAAATGAATTTGAGAACTTAGAGATTAATATTTTCAACAAAATAATGGATGGGCATAGTATGAAAAAATGAATTTAATCATAGGTGTATTTTTTTAAGATATTTTGGAAGCCATAACAATTTTAACAATAATAAATTTTGATGAATTTTTGTTCGAATTTTATTGTGAGATAGCACATTTTAGTAGGCAAAATTAAACTAAATATTAAAAGGCTGAAAATTTTTGTTGTTTCATAAGTTCTCAAATATTTATTGTTGTTGTACAATTATATACATTTTTCATTTATAATCAAGAGATAGATAATTATCAAGAAATTAATTACTTTTGAACAGCATCATTGCTTTGCATGTATAATATAAAGTATATTCTATAATTTAGTCAGCTTAAAGTGGGGATATTATGTAATTTATTGTAAAATGTGAGGTATATTTAAAAATTAGATAGATAGTATTTGATTAATGTTTTAATCAAATATAAGAAAATAATCAATAAATTAACCCTATAAAATAATCATTTTTATTAATGAAAAAAAAAACAAATAGAAAATTGTAAACTTAAAATTGTGATGGGTTAATAGTTCAGGGTCCTCAAAAAAATTTATTACTTAAAAGCCCCTATTCTATCTGCTTATTTTTTGTATTTGGAGGAGGAAAGATGGAAAGCTCTAAGAGATTAATCTAACTTAGCAATGAATGAAATAGTAAAATAAGCATAGTACTATTATCACTACAATTAGCACAAATTGGCATTCGAATCTCACAAATGAATAGAGAGATGTCTATTAATAAAAGGCACATTAAATAAAAAATGAATCTGATGCAAAAGAATATATGAAAATGTTAGAACAAAGCTACACAATTAAAAAAAAAATAACAAAAGCCAAAGGAAAGCCTAAACCAAAAGGCAAAAAATGAATTTGATATATTTTTAAACTATTCATTCTGACTCAATTCTGATTAGCATTTATATGCTTGATTTACAAATCAAAATTTTTGAATGTAAGTTCTATATTGTTATCACAAAATACTTAACACGCTTCTAAAAACTTTGAGAAAATTAAAATTAAGGAGGTTTGACAAAGACTTTGGATCCTTAGTATAGATAGAGTCTGAATGATGGAGAAATTAATTATTTCAAGTAATTTGAAAAGTCAAAGGATTCTCGGATAACTTTTATTAAGCCAGTAAAATTGATTCAACTTTTCTAAAGATATTTCAGAAATTCATTTTTGGTGATGATTTTATATTCAATAAAAGATTTATAGCAAAAAAAATATCATTATAATGTTTAAGTTAATTTCTGAGGTTTACGAAATAGTTTTTTTCTTTAGACATATTTGTCATTAATAAAATCCTTGTGGTTGATAAATGGATTCCTTGGATGCGATAATTATTCTAAGCTAGGTTTTAATTTATTTTCTTCTATAATAGATTTCAGATATTCGTTCATAAAGGATTGCTTATGTAATTTTTGTTATGACTTGTAAGTGTACATCCAAGCAATATTTGCAGGTTGTGCTAATTTACGTTTATGATTAATGATTTAAGACATTTTGAGATCGGAAATAGTTTTAAGACGATCAGGCTTCTCATTTATGAAATCATCCAGTTTGGATCTGGAATAGGTGTTATTTTATTTTTTGCATTTTTGCTCATCTGAAAATTCAGATTACCAGATGCTCACTTTAGTGGGGATGGAAAGAGTGTGGAACTTAGTTCGCATAAATTATGAAATAGTAATTAAATAATTAAAAGTTTAATTCAATTCAGATCCAAATATTTATTGATATAAGAATCGCTAATATTAGTGTCATCCTGTTCGTAATCATCCATTATATTTCTTATGTATAATCTATGCTAGAATATTTTGAGTCCAGAACCATGTTGTTCTAAATGTTGTTATTATTATTATGTATATTTATTATAACTATTATCTGATAGCAATTCATTATGATTCTCATGTTATTGTTATTTGCATTCAACTTAAACATTACTATAATATCATACCATATTTAATAGTAAGCGATTCATAAGGAATCAGTTTTAATTCACGATGCAAATTAGGATTGACTTTATTGATTTCATGCATTAAATTCACCCTGCTCATTTTTTAAATGTTTTAATATATCTTCTGCTCTTACTCTTATCGAAGTTTATGAATAGATTTTACAATTGGAATCTTTTATGTAATCTAGTCTAAACTTTGTTTAAACGATTTTTTATGACTATAATTCAAGTGTTGTAAAGGTGGACAATTTTCTTTGATTTCATGCAGATACTATTTCAATTCACCTCCAGGAATCATGTTAATTATAATTAATATTCGTTAAAAAATCATTGATTTCCTTATTTCTAATCTTCCTCAATCTTTTC